TGTACCACTTCTGCTACTGTGGATGATGAAGAAGGCCTTGAGAGTTTTAATATTTTTTCTACATTTTCTAACACTCAAACCAGTAACAGGAACATTGATGAACTTCAATTCTACTTGCAGAAGCAAAAGAGCCTCACACAAAGGAATTTTCACCGTTGGGATGGTGGCACGAGAATTAAAAGCAATTTCCTGTTCTTTTCGCTATGGCTCGGGATGTGCTGAATGTGCCAATTTCTACTGTTGCATCGGAGAGTGCATTTAGCCAAGCAAGACAACAACTTGAAGACACCCGTCACTCATTGGGAAGCAATGCTTTGAAAGTTTTAGTATGTTTCAGAGATTGGATTAGATCGGAACGAAGAAATCAAGGACGTGAAGATGTTGATAGCCCAAAAGACGAGGAACTTGGAGATATATTAACACATGGTAACCCATCCGAATTTAACACTCCAGAAGAAGGTCAATCAGTTCATATTGATTATGAAAAACTTACTACGACAATGCAAAACTTTTGAATTTACTTGTTGTTAAAAATATAAATCTTTCAATTTGTAAGTTTGAATTATGAAATAAATGTAGCACTTGCAACAAGTGCATTTTTTCCCCATCTTCCTTGTAATCTTTATGTTAATACTTTGTAATAATATAACCTACAATAGTTATACAAAATTCCAAAAAAAAAATAATTAAAAATACACTAAACCCGGCCCGGCCCCCTCAACCTGTAACCCTTACGGTTCAATTTTTACCCGGATGAACCCGAAACCCGTTAAGAACCAACCCAGAACCGGCCCAGACCGTAACCCGTACGGGTCCAAAAAATAGCGGCCCAGCCCGGTCCACCCGTTTAACACCTTTAGTCTCAAGCAACATTGGTGGTCATAGTTCTTTTCTTTGCTGTAGTTTTAAATTGTCACGGGAAAACTTTCCCAAATCCATCTCAATATAAAATTAAAAAACAATAATCCAAAATCCATCATATTTTACAGAAAGACGTACACGCGCTGTAGCTTTTAAGTTTGTCAACAGTTGGGTTGGATCCAATTTCACGGCCAACAACTACAATAACAATTCTGATATCGAAGACATTGATACCGCATATCAGACCAAACAAAGGAAGTGGCTTTAATAAGCTACTCGCAACAATCAGATATTGGGTGAGGTATAATCAAAGGCCCGTTTTACATTGCTATATTCACTCCTACGTCCGTGTCATCTGTCACTTCTATCAAGAATTTAAATTGCTCATAAACAAACGAGATTAGTAACTTGTAATATAAAGTTAATCTACCTGCCACAATATGTTAAATATTCATGTTAAATCCTTTTACCAATAGTTAGGGGATGGATAAATTCTGTTATGCTTCTGTACAAGAAGCTGTCTGCACAGCCAATCCTATAGCTTAAACTCGTCAGCACTGGGCACAAGAATTTGAAGCAGGAATAGGTAGGGAGATTCCTTGGCAAAAGGATGCCATAAATTTCCTCACCCTTTATATTGATATGATTTCGTCTAAAATCTTTCCACTGTAAATATTATTGAAGCGGCAAATATGGGACATATCAACCTAATCTAGGTCATCCACTTGCCTCTGTCACTAGAAATTTCATTTATCTTTCCACCACCATCAATCTACTCAAAAATGTAAAAGCATGACAAAAGAGAAATTACATGATAAGATAAACAAACGGGAAAAGAACCCTTTCATTTCTAACTTACCACTTATCTTTGCATTACTTTTACTAGACTGCTTCACAATATATTAACATCAAAGTAACAATAACTTTCCAATACAAATCAAGATTTACAACCATATATACCCAAAAAAAAAAGGATATTGAGATTTATATGTTCCTTGCTAATTGAGTAAATATATATTTTTCATCAAGCTTCCGGCCTTTATTCGGACCCATTTGGCTCGACTAATTCGGATTGACTAACTATATATGGAGGTTTTAGCGCTCCCTACTAAAGAGCACTCCATATCCCAGACTCGAACCCCAGTATGGAGTAGTAATATATTATTGCTTCAAGCTTCAAAGAGTGGTAGAACATTGAGCTCCTTGTCTAAAACTGAGGGGACCAGCTGGTAAGGAAGGTCCAAAAGGCATAATAGCAACACAATCTACATTGAACCTATACCTTCCAGAAACCCAAGTTCCAACTTTCCATCTTAACCTACCACTTGCTTTCAAATTCATTACCAATTTTCCAGCATTTTGGTCACGTTGCACTTCATAACCAAAAGAAGGATCCACTGGCAGTCCATTCCCAATCAAAGAGGCAGACAAAAAATTACTATCTTCATGTCCTTGATAAAATGGAGGAAGAGAAGTGTAAAGAGTAATTTGTTGACCCTTATAAGAAGCATAAACTTGGAACTCATCGTAGTATATTCCAACTTTCTTGTTTGGATTCTTGGATACAAGTGTGAGTTGAATGGAGGAGTTGAGAAGTTGGCGTGGACCTGAGAGGTTGAGTTGATAAATATCAGCTTCTCTGAGAGTGAAGTTTGGCTTCGTTGGATGGAGGGTGAGATATAGAAGAAAGATAAATGATAGAATAGAGAGGAAAATGGTAGAGAAGCCAAAGACTAATTTCTTAATTGGGAGTACTTTTTCTAAGTTGAAGTTATACTCTTTCTCGTCACAATGTTTTGGAGATCTTACATCAATTGGAGACATCAAGAATATTAGAAAGAGAGAACCAAAGAAAGAAGTGTAAGGGGTAAGTTCACAAGGCTAAGGAAAGGAAGTGAGGAGGTTAAATATAAAGAGCACCAATTATTTTGTGCTTGACTACTTTTGACTGACTGCTCCGCATGGGGTATTGACTAATTAAGTGAAATGATATTAGTGGAAAGTAGCTGAGAAATCCAACTAACTTCTGGAATGTGCTCTCTTTTCATTTATGCTAATACTGTAATTTAATTTTGAGTTTAATTTATGTACAGACTGACAGTGTAAAAAATATGTTTATACAATTAGATCACTTAAAATGTAGTTGCAAATGATTTTCTTTAAGAGCATTAGTTGATAATCTTTAAAAAAAAATTACAGTGATAAAGTAAAATTTTTGTTATATTATCCGTACAAATAACTTAGATCCTTTATATTTATTTCGAACTTATAATTTCAAACTTTGTGGTAGCTATTGTTTATTGCTAGTGTAATTAGTCATTGAAAATACCTTCTTTTTTTTTAAGAATTCTCATCATAGCGTCTTTGCTATTGTATTTTTTAAACCTGTTTTGACAACGTTTTTCTTGAGTCGATGGTCTATTGGAAATAATCTTTCTACCTCACACGAGGTAGGGATAAGATCTGGATAAACTCTATCCTCTCCGAACCCGATTTATGGAATCACACTGAGTATGTTATTGTTGTTATTTCTAAATATACCTGGCGTGTTCTTGAAGAAATTCCCCAAAAGTTTATTTTCTCCGAAAGTTGTCAACTACAAGACTTTAAAAGAAAGTAATTTTTTCAAAAAAGACCTCTTTTCTCTAGGATAGGGTCGGAGGGAAATTATTTTTATCCTGTATCATGAATATGCATGCAATGCACTTTGGTATCGTGCATGCTTTACCAAGTATATCTTGAAGCTTTAATTATCATGTCAATTGATGGAGTAGCTTAAGATGGCTGAGGGATACTGGGATATCTCTCTGAGATAGAATCTTGATTACACCTTTTAGCATTATTGAAAGAAAAGTTAAGCTTTTTTAAAGTGCGTAATGATTGCAGTTAAAATGATAAATTATCAGGGTCCCTCAATTCTGACCTCCCGTTACCAAAAATGAAAAGCAGCAAGAAATAAAAACCTCTGTATTTTCCTAGTTTTAATCGAAGATTTCTTTATGAAGTACTTGACTAGAGAACGTTCGTCATATAGATATACAGAGAGTATTCACAAAGGAACATATTATATATATTAGCTTGATCAGAGTTATGGCATCTGTGATTGATGTACATGTATCTTAAGGTACAGTATATATAAGATCACCTTGTCTAAAACTCTACGACTATTAAAGAAAAATGCTCGAGCATAAAGAGGGGAGTATGCTTATCGAATTTCCAGAAGCGAATCAAATGATGCATCTTAATGTAACGATCCGGACGGTTGTTTCGAGAGTAATAGCCCTGTTCTTCCATTCCCTGCTTCTTTTGTGTTCTATAGCTATATTATGATATACCGAATTAGTTGGTTCGGATCTGGAGTGGTTTCGAAGTGAATTGAGACACATAATCTCTTATTTGAAAGCTTAAGTTGAAAAAGTTGACCGGATATTAACTTATGTGTAAACGACTTCAGATTTGGATTTTGATGGTTCAATTAGTTCCGTTAGGTGATTTTGGACTTAGGAGCGCGTCCGGAATATGATTTGGAGGTCCGTAGTAGAATTAGGCTTGAATTGGCGAAAGTTAGAATTTTGGCGATTTTAGCCGGCAGTGGAAATTTTGATATCGGGGTCGGATTGAATTTTCGGAAGTTGGCGTAAGTTCGTGGTGTCATTTCTGACTTGTGTGCAAAATTTGAGGTCATTCGAACGTGGTTTGGTAGGTTTCGGCGTCGTTTGTGGAATTTGGAAAATTTTAAGTTCATTAGGCTTGAATCCGTGAGTAATTCGTGTTTTTGGTGTTGTTGAAGGTGATTTGGAGGTTCGACTAAGTTCGTATGATGTTATGGAACATGTTGGTAGGCTTGGTTGAGGTCCCGAAGACCTCGGGTGAGTTCGAGTGGTTAACGGAGCATTTTTGGCCTTGGTGAGATTGCTCATATCTGTTGCTGCATTTTTCTGGTTTCCTCTTTCGCGTTCGCGAGAGGGCGCTCGCGTTCGCGAAGAATATTTTTGAGATGATGAGGATTTGTTCTTCGTGTTCGAGAAGGGGCAGACGCGAACGCGAAGGTGTGGTCTACGCGTTGGGGACCCCAGGTCCTTGTTCTACGCGTTCGCGTGGTGGTGGTCACGTTCGCGAAGGTCTGAGCTAGCAAAGTATCGCGTTCACGAGGCATGTGTCATATTCGCGAAGAGTAAATTGAAGAGGCAGTCAAGTTGTTCTACACGAACGCGAGAGGACGGTCGCATTCGCGAAGAAGGAAATCTGGGCAGACAATGCTAAATTCAAAATCGAGGGTTTGAGCTCATTTTTCATATTTTGAGCTAGAGATCACGGATTTGGGCGATTCTTGAAGGGATTTTTACGGAGTTGATTGGGGTAAGTGTTTTTCACCTGGTTCTGGTTAAATCCCATGAGTATATCTTTGATTTTATCATCTAAGTTGTGATTTGGGAAAAAAATGGAGGTGTTCTTAAGAAGGAATTTTGAGGTTTTGAATGGTATTTTGTTGTTGGATTTGAGTAAATTTAGTATGGTTAGACTCGTGAGTGAATGGGCTTTCAGATTATGTGACTTTTGTTGGATTTCGAGACGTGGGCCCCAGGGCCGGGTTTGCGCCGATTTCGGATTTTTGGCTAGAAAATAGTATTTTCCTTGTGGAATTGATTCCTTTAGCCTATATTGATCGTATTGTATTGCTTGTGGTTAGATTCGGGGCGTTTGGAGGCCGATTTGAGAGGCAAAGGCATCACAGAGTAGGATTTTGCGGGATGGATTTTCCTAGGCCGGATGGCCATATACAGTACCGAGTGGTTGAGCACTTGAGAGTGAGAACACATGGTGTATTTCATACAGTCTGTGCATTGGCATGTAGAGATAGCTGAGTTGTATACCTTACACTGTTCAGATATGTATTTCATTTACTGTTTTGAACTGTATATTTGACATGAAGGCATGCCTATGTTTCTGCACATTTATTTCTGCTATACCTGTTGAGGTTGAGTTCGTCACTACCTTTCAGTCCAAAGTTTGGACTTATTACTTACTGAGTTGGTGTACTCACGTTACCCCCTGCACCTCGTGTGTAGATCCAGGCGATACCGATCGTAGCGGCGGTTGCTGATCGAGGTTCCAGAGTTTGGAGATTATCGAGGTAGCTGCATGGCGTTCGCGGGCCTTGACTCTCCTTCTTTATCTTTGTTTTACTTTCAGTTTATATCTTTAGATACGGTAGTAGACTGTATTTTTTTTATCTAGACGCTCATGTACTGAGTGACGCACTGGTTTTGGGCTGGATTATATTACTTTGGGATTTTTCTTGTGTTTCATCAGTTTTCTTTAAATAAAAATGCTTCTGTTAATATTTTTCAAACTTATTGTTGTTGTGTTGAGTTTATTGAGTTGAGACTGGCCTAGTTCCACGATAGACGTCATCACGACGGTTGATTTTGGATAGTAACACATAATTAATTACATTGAATAGTGATTCTTTCCATCTCGTATGAAAAACAATTAGTTTATACTATTAACAACGTACGAGAATACCTGTTATAGTATATACCGAAAATTCAATTCCGTAGCTGGTTTATTGCTTATAATTAAACTGTAGATATGCTTTTCCAAGTTATGAAATGTAAATTAGTATAGGAAAACAAGTGTGAGAACACAAAAGTTGCAAAGTCTATAGTCATTGCTTAATGTTATTCATTATTTTGAGGCTTGAGCTCGGTGGTAAATAGTTGAAAAGAAGAGGAAGACATGGAGAATCTAAGATATGGACTTTTTGGAGGTCCATGGGGCAGGTGGAGCAAACTCAATCGGGTTGCATATTATAGGTCGCTGTTACTTCTGCCTTGAGGAACTTTCCACCTATCCCACCCTCCCACCTCCCCCCAAAACCAATGTGGATGCAGCTATCCTATTTATCTTAACCAAATACTTTTAATATGAAGCATAAATTTTATGCAAAAATTTATTAAATTATACGAAGTAACAAATAGCAGTATATAAGGGTTAATATTAATAACTTTAAAAGTTGAATCCATGAAGTTCAAATTCTGTATTTGCCTCCGCCTCCGACCTCCTCCTTTTGCCCTTTTCTTATTTAAGTGTCAATTAGAAGATAATAGTTTCGATTATGTAACTTACCGGTAGTTATTACCCACACGTGTCAGGATGTTGAGCTCCAAGCTATCGGACACAAGTCCCATGAAATTTCTTTTTGATTTTTAAAAATAAAAACAAATGCTAGAAATATATAATACTAACAATGATAATTATTCAAAATTTATTAAATCCAAAGTAAAAGAATTTACCACTGCAAATAGTAACACACGCGCATGATGATAGACTGTAATTGCATATTTTAGTCACTTATTACATTCTAATGTACTGCACTTTAATTGAGTTTGAACTTTAATCGCTAGTGTTTTGCACTAATTGTGTATTTTATGCTTTGTATGAGTGATTCCAAGCTATGTAGATGTTATAGAATAAATTCAAGTGATTTGAAGCTTTGAAGTCTGAGTAAAAGCTCAAGGAATCAAGCCGGGATCGTGTTCGGGGATCAATAGATGATAGTTAAGAACGAAACGGAGAATCGAACGGGCATACGGCGCATTGTCTAGTAAAATGCACATAATTTTTCGCTCAGAACTCCGTTTGGGCTCCAAAATACATCGTTGGAAAGCTATTTGAAAGGGTTACAACTTTCATGTTTTGCATTTTTGCGAATTCCCAAAACCGCGGTGCATGGTGCGGCGCGACGCACAAATTTCCTGCAGCCTGTTAGAATCAGCTCTCTGAACTTCCCCACAAGCACACCGCGTGGCGCGTCGCTCCTTGCGGCGCGCTTGTGCAAATTTTACAGAGCCAGAGTCCTATTTCGCACGGGAGAAGGCATTTTCGTCT